CTTACGAGACCCACGGGGTGATACTCGTGGATCATTTTAGATCACCACTACACCACACGGTCTATGTGTCGCTTACGTACCAGTAAAAATTATTATATTTAAAATCCATAGAACCATTAAACAATCAACATATAGAATTGAACTGTTAAACATCTACTCGTATGATGATGTATACTATTACGCTTTACTCTTTATATATGTACGTATATACACTTTAAGTGTATGCGTAGTTTGTTTTATAAAGGCATAATAATTTAATAAGAAAAATGTATATTTTATAACGTATTCGTAATTACTGTTATAGTAGCTATTGTTTTTGCATTTGAAACTACGTTTATTTGTTATTTATTATACTTGATTGGAAAAATATTTTATTATTGTCATATTCTCTTCAATTAGACCCGCGGCGTCTGCTGTACAGCAATATTGGTCGATGCGATCGCTCCAATAAGTCTGAGTGCAGATCTAGCCGTTCGCTGACTTCTCTCCTGTCTAAACCTATTACAGGCAAGTGTTTGAACTTGCACTTGCCTGTGTCCTATTCATGTTTTTAACGGATCACAGACTAGAAAAACAATAGGCATCGTATGATGAAAGAGGGCAACGTGCTAATTTATTAATGCTGGTAAGCTGGATGTAAGATGATCCCATTAAAAATATAAATGTGACTAGAAGGTTAAGTTCAGTACAAACGACGTTCCGCGTTGTTGGTGTCTCCTATGAAAAGATGAGATCTGAAGGCGCTTACTATTATAGCAGTTCCATGATTCCTATATATATCCTATTATTGAATCAACTGCTATAGATCTTGGCGCTTGTTTAGGTCTCAACTCTTTTGTCGGCGAAGCTGACACCCTTTATATTACATTGGGCATAGGATGTCATTGAAAAAAAGTCCCACTGGGTTTCTTACTGGTTCTTCCCAGGACAGAGGTATATGTCGAACCAGTGGTAAATAAAAAAATGACTTTCAATAAGTATTATGTAATTATCAATAAAAACTCATTCTATTCTATTAATTTAGATAAATTTTTATTATGTTATTGTATAAATAAATACATTGCCTTCGAATTTTTTTTTCTTACGTTAGCGCTCCACGTTTTCTTTTTTGGCACCTGACTTCGCACGGGTGATTTCTGAGTCTCAACAACAATTCTACCTACCGCTTACAAATGTGAATCTAAGCCATTTAAGGACCCATTCAAACACACACGAAAAATTTCATCAAAATTGTTCGCGCTGTTTTCGAGTTTTAGCAAGAATAACGAACATCAATTGATTTTTATATATAGAAATAAAGATTAAGCCATATCAACACCGTATAGCGATAAGTATAAGTAATAAGTAAGGATAAGTAATAGTTTTAAGATGTTTTCCTTTATATGTGCCTAATAATTTTCCTTGAAGTCAAATCTGAAATTTATCTAGAAGAGGCCTAGGTTTTTAATGAGTGAGTAGGCGAATCAGTCAGTGAGTGAGATACAAATGACACTTTTGAGACCTTTATAATGGATTACGGCCTATAAAAATCCACCCCTGAATGGAGGCCTCTCTAACAGATTGCCTCATATAGATTTTATCATAGTTGCCACGTTTGGCAGGCAGGTTGGCAACTGCAGTTTTTTATCATTTTGAACTGTTATCAGGAATATGCTGCTGGCCATCCCCTGTTTTAGTTTCCCTCTATCACTTCTTACGAAACCCACGTCAATCCATGAAAGAGGTCCTTATTAGGTATGTAACTTTATCTAGGTCTCATCTAATTAATAAACTCAAAATAGTTTTTAGGCTACGAGAGGTTCAAATGTGACTCGAAATGGTAAGTTTAAATGTTTCAACCTAAAACACTACCGGTTCGTCGGCCTTTTCTTTTTTAAACAGAGCGGACACTCTGTTGCGAGGTCTAGATAACTATGAAAAAAAAAAATTAAACTGAGAACCCACAAATCCCATTTATTGAAAAAGCAGCGTCATAGGTGCGAGACTTCTGGTATTGCTAGTTTAATTGTGATTTGCCTGAAATGTGACTATTAAGGCAAATTCTCCTTACAGCGGAAGAGGCATACATCAATGGATTTGTTAAATTATTAAATTTTCTGATTTATTAAATTTTCTTCCGTGCAATATATAAATGCAATAATCATTATCATCATTACAGCCCTTCACAAGTCCACTGCCGAACACAGGCCTCCCCTAACTAATGCCACAAAGCACGTTCCTAAGCCACCTGCATTCATTGACTTCCTGCATGCCTTACCAGGTCATCACTCCATCTAGTGGGGGCACGCCCTACACTTTGTCTGCCGGTACGAGGCCGCCACTCGAGAAACTTTTTTCCCCATCGATTGTCGGTTCTTCGAGCTATATGGCCGGCACATTGCCACTTCAGCTTACTAATCCGTTGGGTTATGTCGGTCACTCTGGTTCTACTGCGGATATCCTCACTTCTAAGTTTAATACGCAGAGAAACTACGAGCCCGCTGAGCGACCTAGAGCTTCCTCATCCGGCCAGCAGTGAAGGACCACGTCTCAATTCCATAAGTCATCACTGGCAACACGCACTGGTTGTTTCATTTTCTGGTTTTGAGGTATACCTGACGAGAAGATGAGTCGTAATTTCCCGACCGCTGCCCAGGTGAGTTGAATCCGTCGATTGACTTCTCGGTCGAAGTTGGACTTACATAATCGGACTATTTGTCCCATGTAAATATGCTCGTCAACAACTTCGAGTTTAGTGCTCCCAACAACTACCGGCATATGTGTGACACGGACGTTATACATGCAATAAAGAATGATTACAGCCGAAATCATTATCGTTCTCCGATATAACATTCCATTGAACCACAATCATTAACGGAAGCTATATTTGTGGTTGCAGTCTAATGTTATAAAGATACAAATAAAGCCAAGAAATATGCGGCCTCGACTTCAAGAAATCAAAAGTAGATTACAAACAGGTTTTCTTTGTATTGGTTTTTATTATTGGTTGACTATGTTGTAATAGATTATTCACTGGTCTTAAATATATATATATATTAAGAAAATTTAAGTATCTATCTGTAATATTTAAATAACTGGTTTTGAAGACTCCGTGGCGCAGTGGCTTGAGTTGTGGGACTAAGGGCCGTGGTTTCGATTCCCGTACGGAATATGTAGTTGTATGCACTACAAACAATTTTGCGGGTCTGCATGTTTATCCTTGCGCAATTTATGTTTATAAACTGCCTCCATGACACAGGAGGAAATCCTAGTGTGTAGGTAACGTTTTAAAAACATCTGTTAATCTCAGAGGGTTATTTGCATGCTTATAAGACATAAATATATATTTTTTTTAATTTTTGTTTATTTGGCTATCCGGGCTTATCTTCGGAATTTCTTCGACACGCCAGGAAGTCAGAATATTTTGTCCGAAGAAATTGTGTGTGTGTGTGTGTGTGTGTGTGCGAGTGCGTGTGCGTGTGCGTGTGCGTGTGCATGTGCCTGTGCGTGTGTGTGCGTGTGCAAGTGCGTGTGCGTGTGCGTGTGCGTGTGCGTGTGCGTGTGCCTGTGCGTGTGTGTGCGTGTGCGTATGTATATGCGTGTGCGAGTGCGTGTGCGTGTGCGCGCACGCCCGCGCGTACGCGTGTGTTTTTTTTTTTGAACGAATCAACCGATCGAGATGGCGACACGGCGTTCGAAAGTGTTCATTGAGACTTCGAGCTGACTAAATTTTCAAGTCAATCGGTCGAGATGTTTCATAGCTTTTCAAAAAATAATAACTAAAAAAAACAAAAATTTTATAGTATTTCGAGCGTTGCGCTCGAAAATAATCGGGAAATTCTAGGGATGGCCTGCAGGGTTAACCGTTTTTCAGATTTTTTTATGCCAATTAGGCATACCTAATACACTTCTCTCTTCTGCTAGTTACCTCACACCTATCTTTAAAAACAGTTACGAGTTTGTACAACCAGCTCAGTTCAACAAAGAAAGTTGAACAGAGCCTTGCGTACATTTGGAGTGATACGGAAACCATGCTGAACTTCTTGACTCCCATTCACGCACACATCTTTTTTCTTTCTTTTCTAATCAGCTCATAAACGTGTGTTGCTGGACACAAATATTTTATGTTATGTTAGATGCATATGTGTGCGTGGGATAAAGTCACATAAATCAGCTATGCTTAACCAATGAGTTATCTTAAATATATTAGAATAGCTAAGAACCGCATAAAAAATTTAGACTGAGACTACTTTTTACGAAGATCTATGCTAAATAAATTTATATCTTTAATATCTTGAATTTTGCGGGAGGTGCTTTTTTATAGGATAGGGTGACAAACGAGCACACAGTCCACGTGATGGTAAGTGGTTGCTGTGGCCCATAGAAATCTACATCTATCCTCGTTTGCGAATCAAAATGCAGATGCGTTGTCACCCGTGAGGACTAAGATGCCACTTTTCCAGTAAAAAGGGTCTCCGGTTCTCTACACTCACCATACGAAACACAGCTGCTATTTTACGCTGGTATTCGTTGAGAGCGTGGTCCTTACTCGGTCGAGCTGACCCATTTGTGCAACGACTATACTACTAATATAGCTGCAGCATGGCTCTACCACGTTAAACAAGGAAAGACATCATTTTACTTTATCTCAACTAACAAATTTTTAACATCTTTAATCATGGATTTCCACAAAGTAGAGGCACGCTGCAGCTATATTATGGCTGTAGCACAACTGAATCGGCTCGACTGAGGTAAATTATCGGGCGTAAATTAGGAGCTTAATGCTACTGTGTTTCGTATGATGAGTGTAGAGATCTGAAGACCCTTATTCCTGGTATTTATTCTTAGTCCTCAGGTTTGACAACGCATTTGAATTTTGATTCAATATCGAGGTTAAAATGTAGACTTCTCTAAACTACTCACTTACCATCAAGTTGACTGTGTGCTCGTTTGTCACCACTATTCTCTACAAATAAAACTTAACTAATGATTGATCTAAAATATTAAAAATATCTGTGTACCTGCTCCGGCGTATCGGTTTCGAAGGCGTGGCAATACTGGACGGCGGGGTCGGAGCGTGGCTCTCGGGCGACGAACGCGAACAACGTACGGGCCGCCTCACAAGTTGCGTACGAGATGCGGCGCAGCGCGTGCGACATGCGCACACTCTGTGTGACGTAAAAAAATAGTTACATATAGATATATAAACAAAACACCACTGACTCACTCACTCATCCTCGTGATCGGGTGATTGACATAAAATTTGGCATTATACTCCTTCCTTCCCGGCGTAGACTAAGAGTGGATTTTGGAAAATTCAACCCCTGAGGAGGTAAAATAGGGTGTTACAGCTTGTATAATATTTATTTATTGACTGGCGGTGTTAGTGTCTCGGGTAGGGTTTAAATTAGTTATAGAGTTCTTCTGTCATAAAATTCTCAGTAGCTGCCAGCAGTCAGGAAGTGGGCGATGTTTCACCACCTTGCCTCGAAAAGAACGTAAAGCTGTTGGTCCTACGCTTGATCTCTCTCTGGTCATGTTGAATTATGGTCCGTCATTTGAACATCGACTCTGAGAGTGAAAGAATGCAGAGAGTACCTTTCCTTGCGCATATACTCGGGTACTATAATCCTGTCCACAGAATTCCAGCGTAATATAGCTACTAAATGGTGCTATGTTCCTTCAGCCATTTTATTAGTAACGAGGCATTCCATTTCAGTCTTCAGGAGTGGCAACTCAAGAGCATGTAGGTGACTTTGGGCTATAGAGTCCAATTATTATCGATTGGACTGTCTGCCCGCCTTGGACTGTGTGCCCGCCTCACATTTACTTCTATAAAAACCTTAAAAAACATTTTAGCTGCAGCGACATGTCTGACATTATTGGTATGATCGTAACCAATAACATAAGGTATGTCACACATTTAGTTTAGGAAACCTAATATCTATCTATCTTTATGTAACAGCATATCAAAGCCTACTGCTGAACACAGGTCTCCTATAGGCTGCCACATAATGCTGGAAATATGCTGCTGTCCATCTTCTGTTTTAGTTTCCTTTTGTCGCCTCTTACGACATACGAGTGTTGATATTTACATACTTCATTATTTAAAAAAAATATGTAATTACACGTGTTATAAATATAAGTTAAAACTATTATTTTTATTTAGATAATATGTAACTATAATTACACGTATAATTAAACATTTAAGATATAAATAAATATATTAATTATTCACATTCGTATTCAGAAAATATCTTAAAAATACTAAAATATCTTAAAAATATCTTAAAAAATACTTAAAAATACGTGGTACTGGATATTTTCCTGTCCTCTTGCCATAGTAATTGTTACCCTATGCTCAACGTATTTATTTCGAGAAGTAATTCTAATATTTATTGTAAAGATTTAACCGTTTTAAACTCTAGAGATTTAAATTGTTCTACTGCAGCTAAGTGCTTAAGTTTTACATTAAATAATATAGGTAATATTATAAAACTTTTCAGAAAAAAATAAAGGTGTCCTTCCAAAAAAAAGAGTGAGAGGTTTGATCACACAATAGAACGTCCTTTTCACGTGGTTATATTTGGTTAGGTAAGATGACTTGTGACGTCAATATACCTATATAAGTTGCCAATAATTAAATGTGATGATACTAATTCGCATCGATTGGGATCTTTCTTGAAATGTGTCTTTTGGAATTTTGTGTCTTTCGTCATCAAAGCGTATTTAGTAATGGAATTTAATAGGCCAGTGAGGAAAGTCAGAATCAAAGCGCTTTGTCAGGATAAGGAAATAAAAATATGGCAAAGAAATATTTATAAGTTACCTTTGCCTTATAATTTACTTACAAGTCAATATTATATCAACAAATTGACTTGATTGTTGTCCTTTGCCCTGATTTTATCCTTTAAATAATGCTTTAAACAGGACCCTAAAACGTAAAAGTGATGCGATTTTGAGTATCAATTATCTGCGCATGTGAACTATTCGTGAAGACGATGAAACAAGTCTTCCGATGTTGAAATAAACCTCAAATTAATTGTGTGCGCTCAAGCACCTTAAGAACTTGAGATAATGTCGTCATCAACTATCTGCTCGTTTGAGTTATCGGCTATCCATCAACATAATATTATGGGGATTTTTTTTAAATATATTATAAAGAATAATATCCATTTAATTGACTTTAGCAAAAGTATAACCAGACGAGTTCAATACGCAATAAAAATAAATCTGACACGACATCAAAGCATATTTTTAACACGTGATTTCAATGGTTTAAATGAATTTCTAATTAATAATAGGTGATTATTTTATTAATATTTATATATTTATAATTTGTATATATGTACATATTTATATATATTTACTCACCTGGTCGTCGGGGTCGCATATTTTCACCCCGGTTAGGGCGACCACCACCAACACTGGCACCGCACACCCACTTTCCTGCAGGAAATAAAACCTTTGAATGTTCCAATTCACCAATACTATTCTGGCTTGTAGAAAGCCTTCTTAATATAGATTTATAGCGAAAGAATTGAACCAATAAAGGTTTACACACAAAAAAACTTAAAAAACAACGTTAAAGTAGATAAACGACGGTAGCTTAAACGTTAAATATACGAATTGCGAAACTAAAAAGGCGTAGGATCGAATCCACCATTCGACTACAACGAATGCCGTAATTACTTTTTTTTTTAATAAAATAGCAGTGACAAACGTACTTACAGTTACTGGCTACTGTATCCCACGGACACCGACAACCGACTTCAAACAAAAAAGGTTACAGATGCGTTGTCACCTCCGAGGACTAAGATGGATTGCCTCACTGCCTGTAAGTACTATTTCTATGCAGGAGAAATAAATTCCTAGCACAAGCAGGCACTTGAAGGGATAAACGAAAATATTAGCAATTTAAGTGTATTTTATGCTAGTATTTTATTTCTAATTTTAAAGTAATATAATAATAACAACTACCACAACAACAACACGCTGTGAGACATTAAAATATAACGATAATCCTTAAATGGAAAACGCATCTTTAGCTCTTTTTATTCGAAGTTATTTCCAGTAGTTGTTGGTATCAGTAGCCAGTTACCATCAAAAGGACTGTTAGTGTCTTTCTGTTATATTATATTGAGAAAGAAGACGTTATTTATTATTTAATTAATTTAATTTACATTTAATTTATATGTAGCTATGATATTAGCACGAGGTACAGTAAACGTTAACCTAGTTTGACACAAATAAAACAAATGTCTTTACTAAATTCAATTGTGTGTTAGCTTTATTAGAGAATTCCCAGCATCGGTTTGTTAGATAGGATAAGAAAAGATGATTTATTTGTATATGTATATGGTACATTAACGTTGTTACAAAATAATATGGATCCTAAATATTCTGCCGTTTCCGGCGTACAAATATTTTCAGACAGATTATGTTAGAATACGTAGGGCACTCAATAAGTTTTAAGATAAACAAACAGTATTGATACTATTAATATTTATTCTACATCTTTTCAAAATATTCTCCATTATGCTCTATACAAAGTTCCGATTCCAAACACTTTTACATGTCTTGATCTGACAGGTCGGAAATCGCTTCTTCGTAGGCAGCCACGGCTTCTTCGGCGCTTGAAAAAAACTTGCCTTTTATTTTTTTTGACTCTTGAGAACAAAAAAAATCACAAAGAGCTAAGTCAGGGTTATAGGGTAGGTGACTTAGAGCTTCAACACCAGATTTCTCAATAAATGCTTTTGTTCTAAGGGAGGTATGTGAAGAGGCGTTATCGTGATGCAGCATGATTTCCCGAAGCCCGTTTTTTCATCTTCTCTCCCGCACAGCTTGAAAACCTTTGGGTAATGCAATTATAGTATGACCATTCAGAGTTGACTGACCTACAATTTTCCAGCATTGAAGTCGACAAATGTCCGCTCCACGGAAAAAAACTAGCCACCATTTTTTTGCCGACGTTGCGAGGTCTTTGCAGTTTTGTCGGGAACTGTCCTTCTGAGTAGACCCATACCGATCATATTGATATATCCATATCTCGTCACCAGTAACGATTTCTGAAATATGCCTAGATGCCCCGTTTTCAAAACGTAGACTCATTTCATGGCACCAATCCACACGAGTCTGTTTTTCGCTTTTGGATAGCAAACGTCGACAACAAAGCTTCCTCACTCCTAGATGTTTATGTAGGATAGTATGAATGCTCCCCGAACTAATGTCTACAATCTTTTCGATATCCGTATATGTGACTCGTAGGTCTTCTTACACCAACAATTCAGTATTCCATACATTTTCTGCCGTTACTGCTGTTTGCGGCGCCCCGGTTCTTCGGCTTTCTTTATAGGATAGGATAACAAACGAGCATACAGGCCACCTGATGGTAAGTGGTTGCTGTGACCCATAGCCATCTACATCTATCCTCAATAAAGAATCAAAATGCGTTGTCACCCGTGAGAACTAAGATGGAATGAATGGATGGAATAATTTCCAGTAAATTGGGTCTCTGGTTCTCTACACTCACCATTCGAAACACAACAGTTTTAGGCTGCTTGGTCATCGTTAAGATTAATTTTACCCCTTTGGAATTCAGCAAACCACCTAAAAATTGTTGGGCGTGATGGAGCTGAGTCCCTTAATGCTGATTGTAACCGTTGTAAATTTAATTGTTCGGTTAAACCAAATTTAAAATCATAATATATCAAACAGCGGTAGAGCCACGCGGCAGCTTTTGCTGTCGCACGGATGGGCCGGCTCGAACCGGGGTGGTACCATGACCTCACAGAAAACCAGCGTGAAGTAGACGTTTACCTATGCGTTTAGCTTGGTGAGTACAGGTGGCCGGAGGCCCTTTTTACTGGAATGAGGCATTCCATCTTAGTCCTCACGGGTGACAACTCATCTACATTTTAGATAGATGTAGATGTCTATGGGCCGCAGCAAGCACTTACCATCAGGTGAACTGTGTACTCGTTTGTCACCCTTATCTTATAAAAAAAATATATTAAAGCGCGCAAAAGTTCACGGTCAAGATCCATCGTTTTAAATGAAAAGCGCGGGAAGCATTGTATGAAAATTAATAGAACTTTGTTTTTTTTTAAATATTGAACAATTGGCTTATGGAGTTCTATTTTTAAATAAATTTTCTTTATAAAAACATATAACACGGGCGAGTTCCATTTTTAAATTTCGAGCATCTCAAAACTTATTGAGTTACCTACGCATAAGAGAAAACCGAAAAAGAAATTAATTAGAATATAGATATTTTTTCAGCTGTACCTAAGGAAACTAAATAGAATCTATATAAAAACAAAAATGTCAATCAATTAATTCATAATATTTTTTAGTTAAAACATATCAATAAATGAAGTCCAGATTAATTTCAATAATTACCATTCCAATGAAATTTATTATTCAAGAAGTCATATATAGAGTAAAAACATTTATTTAAAAAAAATTGAAATAATTTACTTTTAAAGATTCCTATCAAAGATGTTTTATAGGACCTATAAAACATCTTTGATTCCTATATTAATTTTTTTGAAACAAGCAGGCAATTTGTTGTAAACATGTATTGCCCTACAATATATATTTTTTGAGTATAGTTGTATTCTTTGCTTTGATACACACAATTTATGTATGTTTCTACTAGTCCTAGTTATATCGTTGTTCTGTTTTTCAAATAAATTACATTTTTTTTATGTTTCATCTCTTAGGTGTAGCAAGAGGTAATTAATGCCAGAAAGATATTACTGCTTCCATTATGCGACGTCATATCCTTTTACCGTAGAGCCATGCTGCAGCCTATGTATTATGGTACAAAATTCAAAATAAATTTTAAATGAACAAAATTCATTTTTAACTTTGCAAAACCTGTATAATTCAAGCAACCGACTGGTGCTATTGTATTTATGTAACGATGATATGATGATTCTCAGAACCGGTTACTAAGTTAAGCATGCAACACGGATACCTTTTCGCCTAATAGATTATTTGCTATTTGTCGGTAACAATAACTTTGTGGTTCATGCACTCACGCAAAAGTGAGATTGATTTTAAGCGAGTAACGAAGCACCTGATAATTTTAAAATTGTACTGCGTATTATTCAAAAATAATAAATTTAAAAAATCAACAAGGGGTTGCAGGTAGTTAGAAAACGGATCTTTTTCAATTCCATAGGCTTTAAAGCCTTTCGCATAATGAGTCGCGATAATCCCAACAGGTAGTAATAAATTGCGAACAAAACAAAAGGGAGTGCTAGTCTGTTAAAAGCTCGTCGGGTTTTATTTACATTGAGCGGCATTGTCGGAGTCGCAAAAGTCCGCCCGGGGCGGATTTAATCATTCCCATTGCCGCGGACGTTGCGGAGCCGGCAGTGTGTGGATTACAAACAAACTCGGACGCCGCACTCTTCTAATGAGTCTGCGATTTTTCCCCATTTTTCACTCATCGAGGGATTTCACTTTTGTTTTCGCGTCTTTGTGGAGCACGGCTTATCTTCGACGGAGTAGATTTTTAATGTTGGTTTAACTTGCTTTTTCCTATTTTCATACTCAGTAATGTACAATAGTTGCGTAATAGATACCTTTCACTTAAGATTTTTTTAATTCTGTAAACTAAAGTTAAATGTGTGAAAATCTCTTCAAATTATCCAATAATGTAATATAAACCACCAGGACAGATGGCCCGGGACACGGCGTGTGCTCAAGGGCTCCCACTGGGCCGCTCATTAGATATTTTAATTAAGAAGCCCGAGATCTGTCCGCACCCCGGCACCCTACACCCGGCCATCATTTACCTGATCCCTTGATTTAAAAGATTACGCAAAATAGCTGTGTCGAAAAATTTATATTGTTCTCTGTTTTATTATTGTTTAAATTATCATTCTTTTAACATTCAACGTGAAACACAACAACACATAAAGACATTTATTCTAATACTTACATCTACAAACAGTTAAAGAAAAAAATTACCTCTTAACAAAAAAAAGGAATAACGGAAAAAATGAAGTGAATATGTGTACACACACACACACACACACACACACGCGCGCGCACACACACACGCGCACACACACACACACACACACACACACACACACACACACACGCGCGCGCGCGCGCGCGCACACGCACACACACACACACACACACGCACGCACACACACACACGCACAGACACACATATATATATATATATATATATATATATATTAGAAGTCACACACAGTACACATAGTATTTTTTTATAGGATAGGGTGACAAACGAGCACACAGCAACCATTTACCATCAAGTGATTGCTGTGACCCATCAGACATCCACATCTACCCTCAATAAAGATTCAAAATGCAGATGCGTTATCACCTATGAGGATTAAGATGGAATGCCTCTTTTCCAGTAAAAAGGATCTCCGGTTCTCTATACTCACTATACGAAACACAGCAGTGTTAAGCTTCTATTTTACGCTGGTATTCTG